TACAGAAAATATTGGCATATATTTTGTTGTTTTTATTAAGTATATGTTTAATATGTTTCAATTTTGCCATCTTTCCATAAATTATATCAGTGATCATTAAGAAAATACATCTTTTCTATTTATTCAGAGGGGGTGTACTCATTTATGCTGTGCACTGGAGTTATTTTGATGGGACAGCAAATTTACACTGTTATACAAGCTGTACACTCACTACTTTACATTGTAGCAAAGTGTCATTTCTTCAGTGTTGTCACATGAAAAGATATAATAAAATATTTACAAAAATGTGAGGGGTGTACTCACGTCTGTGAGATACTGTATATATATATATATATATATATATATATATATTAGTTGTTTTTTTATTTTATTTTTAATATAACTTATATACATTTTCCTTAAATCATCTTGGTGAACCATTTTTTATGTCTCGCGACCCACCCAAAACAGCATGCAATGGCTGTGGCAACCTGAAAGGATACTATGGCAAAGTTATCGCTCTCCTTATTCAAAGTGATTTTTTATTTTTTATGAATATATGATTGACCTGAAGAGTAAAAGCTTCATCATACACTTGGAAAGTTATGAGCTATATCACACTCGTAGACACTAGGGGTGTGACAATACACTTAGCTCACGAGATGAGACAAAATACAGATACTTGGTTTACTAGAACGAGACAGTATTTTAATACTATTTTAAGAAATTTTCAATGACAAAATATTTGTCTTTCAATCACAAAAAGCAAAACAATGTAGTTGTATTTTGAAACATTTAGCTAATCTAGAGCCATAACTAATGATAATCTTGGTAATCAAGTAATACTGATTATTTTGACAATTGAGTAATCTGATATTTTTTAGTAATAAAGTAAATAAATAAATATATATATATATATATATATATATATATTAAACTAACGATGAGACAATTTTTTTCAAATAAAGTATCAAAACCAAGTAATCACATGGTTTTATTGAACAACACTTTTAAAAAACAATGTAATATGCTTATACATGTTATAACAAATACCTGCAGAGGGCGCCAATGGCCTGGTGAGGTTTCATTTTACTGCGTGATTCAACAACGTTTAAATACATGTAATTTTAATATTTGGCCACATACAAACTCCGTTTGAACTTTTATTTTGAAATAGTGATGTACAACAAATCACATAATAGAAATATGTTGATGTATTCTCCTGTGTTTGCATAGTTTTATAAATTATTTACGTTATAAATTTAGTGAGATAACGCACACTGTTTTCCCAGATGAACGTTAAGCAGCCCAAACTCACAGCATATGCAGAGGAAGAGTTTGTGGACCGAGCGGCTGAGATGGAGATGCTCCACGCTTGTAAATGATACAGTGCAACACAAAGCGCGTCAGACTTTATACGCGTTCCCAAATGAAACCTAAACAAACATCACATGTAATAAAAGACTGAACAATATAATGCAAGCACTATCAGAGGCTTTACCACAAAATCAACTTTTTACTGATATCGCGAGACCGCTTTTCACCTCCAGGAGTAATATCGCGAGTTCTCGTGCGCTGCTAAAATATATATCAGACGCGCTAATTTTGTGAGAAAAGACTATTTACTATAATTAATACTAATTTCATATATACACTGTCTTTTAAACATTCAAGTACTTTTCAAGTACCTTTTCATTATTATGGCAGTTTTTAAGGGTTTTCCAGGACTTAAATTTGAAAAAGTCAAGCACTTTAAGCACCTTGTATGAACCCTGTTTTTATATCAACCATTTAAATAAATATATCACAAAAATTCTTCAAAAAAAACAGTATAACTACATAATTAGAAAGTGGACACTTCATTTTTCAATTTAGTGCATACAACTTAAAATGTGTTTCTGGGTTAAAGCGCCTCAAAATGACGGAGCACGTCATAATCATACAATTAGTAAGATTTTTATAAAAATGTTGGGTTCAATATGTAGTCTAATAAGCCTTTTAATGTTATAACTTATTTTATATAAAACTATTTTACACCTTGTGCTCAAATGTATTATATTGAAAGATATTATATTGTAAACAACGATTTACATTATGTGCTGATATTACCTTATGAACTGTGATTACATTATAAGTTGCCACAGTGTTTTCAAAATGTAATAAATTTATCATACAATAACCTTTTACATTGTGGAAATTTTTATTATGAGCCCAAGATTTTATTACGTTTTGAGATTACATTATGCTTTTTTTATTACTAGGGGTGCGCTGATCCGATACTTCTTATCGGTATCGGCTCCGATACTGCCATTTTCTGCCGGATCGGGTATCGGTCAGATGAGACTGATCCAAATCCGATATTCTGTATATACTATTGTGTTATTGTTAAGCCCCACGAAAGGCACAAAAACATTACAAAGCACCATAAAGTTTTCGTGCACTATAATCCAAGTGTTCTGAAGCCGTTCCATAGTTTAATGTGAGGTACTGATTAATATTTAAATCGTTAAATTCAAGTTCTCAAACTCTTCGCTCCGCTGCGGCTGACAGACGTCAGTCATCCTCAATTCAGCATTCAAACTGCGTGTCGGGTTCGGTTATGGCAGTCAAGACGATAAAACTCTCCAAGATGATACAATGTTCCTATTATTATACTTGATCTGTAGATAAAGATGTGATGTATAGATAAAAAATGTGGCTTTGCATAAAAAGAACTTTATCTTGCTGGAGTTTAGTGCTGTTTCTAAAGCATGTTACTTTCTACCGGGTGTCTGTTAGAGATCACAACACTGGAGTAGAGAGCACTATGAATTGTTCTTCATGCGCACAGTAACTGAAATTTAAAAAATTTTAAAAGAAAAGGCTCAAACTATTACACAGGTATAATACACTAAGCATCAAAATCCTCTTCCCTTTCTGCTTTGAACTTTTCTGTGCGGAGCGCTGCTTGCTGTGACTCAGTGTTGCTTCAAGCGTGTTGCCGCTCCATATAGAAGCCTTTCATGTTATAATACTTTTGTGCAATGAAAGATTATTAATAGCCTTTCTTGTTGTCTTATCTCTCATATGTTGCTACATCATTACTGTGCTATACATTTAAAATAAATGTCTTTTAATTTTATAGTACAGTCGTGGCCAAAAGTTGACAGTGACATAAATTTTGTGTTTTGCAAAAGTTTGCTGCTTCAGTATTTGTAGATAAATTTTCCACATGTGTCTATGGTATACTGAAAGACAATGATAAGCATATCATAAGTTTTAAAGGCTTTTATTGGTAAAAAATATATAATGAGTCAATATTTACAGTTTACCCCATAAGATATTGTTTGCAGTTCTGAGAGCTTCATATCACGGAATCGTGAGATTGCGATAAATTGAAGTGAGTGACAGCTTTTTAGTGATTAGCGTTATATGAAAGCGCTATTTGCTCGCTTTCCAGGCTATAATCGATTCAGAATTTAAATAAAAGTTGTTTTACGTGCTGCTAAAAGGACCAACAGCCACATACCCTTTAACTTACATGCAGCAAAGTTTCAGGAGTGACATATTCCGCATCCCTCATATAAATACGGGATATTCCTACGGAGAAAAATCACTTCCTGCCCTCCAGCTGCATTTCGCACGTCATCAATGACGTCATGTGCAAACAACCTATTAGTTTTTTTGTGAAAAGTTCATTTTTTTGAACAATGAAGCTTTTAGCAATTATTTAAAATGCATCCGATCACTCTACACGATAATCTAGAAACAATGTGAATGAACATCACAGCAGCTTAAGCAGCAAACTTTGCAAAACACAAAATGTAGGTCACTGCCAAAACTTTTGGCCATGACTGTATATTAATTAATATATAAATATATTACTTGTTTTTCATGAATGTATTTTACAACAATACAAAGAGCAATGTTTAACATTTTACCAGATTTAGCCCTACACTTATTCACTTTTATTTGTTCCCCACAAAATAATGTTGTTTTTTTTTCACTAAATGTTTAGATTTTATAAAATTGTGCACTCATGATTTTTCTAGAGTAACTTTTGCTGCCGAATTATCCACTAACCTAGTTTATAGTAGTATTTTTGTCATAGATTATGATTATATATTTAGTCATTTGTTGTTTTTCTTTACAATGAAGTTGTCTATATTTGGTAGGTTGTGTTTTACACACCAAAGAGTGATGCTCAGGTCAACACATTGAGGTATAGAAATTCTACACTGATTTAAAAAAAAAAAAAAAAAAAAAGTGCTGGTATCGGATCGGTATCGGCCGATACTGGATCGGTTCTGAAGAAGTGGTATCGAGCCAGCCCTAGTTATAACATTATGAGTTTCTACAGCTGTGCTTTATCAGATATAAACTGCAAAACGTCTCATACTCATCTGCTCTGACGATGATTCGATCTCCGTGGTCCACTAACAAGCACCAAGCCTGAGTGTCCACCATCCCCTGAAAGACCGACTCGACTACAGCTCGACACCAACTCTTCAGAGCCAGACTGAACACCACACACACCTGAGGAGAGGAGACAGGAAAACTTACAGGGCCAGTCATCTGAGAGCAGACAGGCATTATTCAAAGCCATTAAATCAAATAGTGTCAACATACTCTCTCAAAACATACTCTTATTTTACCCCCTTTAAATTAACACCAACATTTTAGTTGAATATTTATATAAATGCACATTTGTGACAAACAGTCACCTTTTTTAAGGTTTGTTTTTTAATCAACTGTTTTCCATTACATCATTTTAAGTCAGTAAGTTCATTTTAAGTCATAGTAAGTTCCTTAAGTTGTGCCCCAACTACAGTGGCACGTAACACCACAGGACAAATCAAGCTCTTATAAGTATTTCATGTCAAATACCCCAAAATTAAACAAACAAAGTTATTATTATTAATGCATATCTATATTCTGAAATGGCATACCAGCCCCTCCTTCAGTTCAGCAGGCTTTAGTTTTTGAACGTCTAGGTCGACCTCATGGTAGAAGAGGTTAATTTTCACTCTCAGGCTCTCATATTCCTCTGGACTGTCCGGCTGAATGCCTGGTCCTTTCAGAACTCGAGCCCACAGACATCCTGGATCTTCAATCTGACACAAGACAGAGAGTGTGCGTGTTGTATACCAACTGATCACTGGAGAAGACTGAATATTTATTAAACATTTGCTATAAAAGCTCTTCTGTCCGCTTTTTGTGTTTTAATTACCATATACTGTATACACAAAAATAAAATAAAATAATAATAAAAAAAAAAGATATAAAGGATGATAGCTTTCTTTTTCAATGTCTATGAAGGCAAAAACAGCAATAATGCTCAATGGTGTCTCTGGTGACATTATGACATTTTGAAAGTGAGAAGAGACTGGGCACTGCATGTGCTGAACTTTTGTTCAGAATTCATGTAATGGACATGTAAATTAATATATAAAAAAAATTGCAAAGACAGTTTTATTTTTTGGGGATAAATAATTAAATTATTAGAAATAAGCCAACACTGTGCTGCCTACTGTAAAACATGACTTGGACTTCAGTGCAAACACATAAATATAAATAAATCTCATCAAAAATGGTTTTGAAAATATCACCCAGCCTTTTTGTTTTTTTGTAAACAATTATCAGTTACATATTTGACATCCCAGCAAGAGCCTTACTATAAGGGTTATTATAATTAACTAAAAGCATAAAAACACTTATTTTATATTTAAAACTTAATTTACTTGTTTATAAAACACTTTACTTGGGGAAAAAAAAACTTTAACTGTTAGTTGCCCAAGGCAGCCTCTCTCATTTTAATCTACTTTAACTTGATGTACAACAATACATAAAACTCAAATAAAAATGAATAAAAACCATATAGACATTAAATAATAATAATAAAAATGACAAAAAAACAAAACATTTGAAAAACTTTAAAACTAATTACAAATTCAAACTAAAATATTTTAAAAACTACTAATTCGAAATAATGAATAATAGTATCTTAACAATACTAAAATAATACTGGTTGCTTCATAAATGATAGAAACAGCCGTCATGTAGTGCTCTACCTTGATTATTTGTATTTCTAACATCTCTCCAATTTCCACGGCAAAGCCTGCAGAAGAGTGAATAAAATTAAGATAAAATGCATAATAAAGCTCATACTTCATAAGACATCAACATGTTGGCAAATGTATAGCTGGTGTACAGAGCTGTGAAGTAGTATATGTACATCTCATGAAAAGTTTTATTGGGATGCTCGGAGCGACAGAAAAAAAAAATCACATCACAGAGAGCAATTTCTCCTGGTTGATGTAAAAAGACTGATGGACAAATTATGAGACGGTTAACCCTACAAGAGATTCCTCCTGCAAAAGAGAGCAATATAGCTAGATGAACTTATGCTTTTACAAAGAAAACAATTAAACTTTGTTGTTGTTGTTGTTTTAAATGCCAGTCAAATTTGTATTATTTGTAGAGATATATGGCATCACACCTATCAAAATGGTCCAAATGAAGTTGTGAAGGATTGTTTTGGAGGACAACACTCTCCCGGGCAGCAGTGACTGCTCCACAGCACTTGTTCAGGCGCTCAGCGAGGTTCAACCAGTGGCGTGAGTTTAGGACAATCTGCTGAACGAGGCAAATTAGGAGCAACGTTACCTGTTGGAAAAATAGTCGATAGTTAAAGTAAATCCACACTAACACACGGTTTGCCGTTGCGATTTAAAAATGCTCTAAGCCTCCGTTTATTACTAATAACATAGTGAACTAGCAAGAACTAGCAACAATGACAATTTGTGTCGTTCCTGAGAAGATAACTGATGGAGCAAGGAGGAGGCAGCACGATCGTTTTTATACAACAGTTAATAGCAAATAAACAACGAGTAACTTACATTTTAGACACAATATTGCCAGTTATTTTGTCTGCTTTCCAAACAAATACACATCAGAACCGCCGCGACTCCGAGCAGCACCCGAATTCGTTCCTGATTTCTTCAAATGATTCTTCGTTTTTGAACAAAACGGTTCAACGAGTGATTCAATGACTCGTTCGGCGGTTTGAACGAATCGGTTGAATTGACTGCCATAAAGACGGTCATCTGTTGCCTACCGGCGTAACGATGTGAACAGCAGAAAGAGTCACCGACCGGTGCAACGCCCAAGTGCTGTTCAACCAATCAGATTAATGTTTTTAATAATTAATAAAGTTTTTGTCTTTTTTACATGTATAACTGCAGGAGGACCACGCTGACCAAATCAACAGCACATTCGCAATAGTTAACGGAAGATACTACAGGACAGGTGAGACTTTTAAAGTTATATAAAATCGTAAAATAATTGTTTATACATTTATATTGGACGTATTGTGGAAGTTTGTGAGTTTAAGCAAACGTTTTTGCACAAAGTTGGTGTTGCAGGCAACTAGAAACCTTATTTTTGTCTGTCGAGTGGCTCTTCTTAACAACATGAAAGTTTATTAATCATTAAATGCGTTAATTCATAACGTTAATAGCGTTAGTGTGGTGTGAAATACATGATCATTTAGGCATAAAATACGAAAAAAAGCTCTGGTTGTCTGGTTGTCAAGACGTGCTATAGCGACGTGCGTGAAAATCAGTGACGCCACCAATCAGTCCAACGGAGATTCACGTGCAGCAAAGAACGTACACGGACAAGAAGTGGAAGCAGCCCTACGCGTCCGCCATTTTGGGGTGAAAGCGACTCGGCAGTCCACTAGATTCTAGCTGTCGCTATGGAAAATAGCAGCTGCTTTGTTTAAAAAAAAAAAAAAAGTACATTAAAGCTGAAATACAACCTGCATGATGACAACAATAACATACAATCACTAGACTAGTGATCATTAAATCATTTTATCCGTTTTAAGTGTTTTTTTGCTAGTTTCAGCCTGATGCAGTAATCATTTTCACGTCCTGCACCACGCTGTTTAAAGGGATAGTTCACCCAAAAAAGTAAATTCTGTCATTAACTACTCACCCTCATGTCGTTGTTCAAACCCTTAAGACCTCCGTTCATCTTCGGAATATTGTTGATGGAATCTGAGAGCTGTCTGACCCTGCATAGACCGCAATACAACTGAAAAGTTCCCAAGTCCAGAAACGTAGCAAGGAGATCGGTAAAATAATCCATGGGACATCAGGGGTTCAACTGTAATTTTACGAAGCTACGAGAATAATTTTTGTGCGCAAAAGCAAAAAAAAAAAACTTTATTCAACAATTCGTCTCCTCCGCGTCACCCTGTAGCGCCATTTTGGAGAGTATCAGCTGGACGCAAACAGCCTATGATATTCCGTGTCTTCTTTTCTTTTTAATGGCGGTTGGCAAACCCACTTAAAAGGTGCATTTCCGCCACCTTCTGGACTGGAGTGTGGAGCATGACGTATATTGGTGACAACATATCATTTAAAAAATAAATAAAAATAAACCCTTTAGGAAACCTTTTGACCAAAAAATTAGTACACAAGGATACAATTATTTTATATACTTCATTATGTGATCTTCAAATTCTATTTATTAAACCTATTGCTTTCAAATAATTAATAATTGCATTATACACTATACTGTGCTGGAACATACTCTAGTATTGTCTTAATTATTATACTTTCAATATTCAACAAACTTAATTCTTCTATTAATCGCATTCTTTCTCTTTCATATGCTTCACAATGTAATAAGATATGTTCCACGGTCTCTGGTATACCACATTTATTGCAATTACCTGATTCATGTTTACCAATAATAAATAATGATTGATTAAGAGCTGTGTGACCAATACGGAGTCTAGATATTATTGTGTCCTCCTTCCTACTTCCGAAGTTTTTCCTTTCATTTCCAACTTGTTTTTGAATGTTGTATAGATGCCGACCCTTTATGTCCCTATCCCACATCTTTTGCCATTTCCTAATCATAGCCCCTCTGATTATTCCTTTCATTTCTGCTTTACTAAGTGATATGTTTATATCTATATCGGTTTGTTTTAATGCCTTCTTGGCCATTTGATCAGCTTCCTCATTTCCCTCTATCCCAACATGTGCCGGTACCCATAAAAATGAAATACTTAATCTATATTAGTGAATTTTGAACATGCTTTGTAGGATATCATATAATATGTCTTGTCTAGATGTAGACTTGCCACTTAATAAACGTATTAAGACAGAATAAGAGTCTGAGCAAACAACTGTTCTTAATGGCTGTATTTCCTCGACTCAATTAAGAGCTATCAGAATGGCTATAATTTTTGCTGAATAAACTGATAAATGATTACTTGTCCTTTTTGCAATTTTAATCTTAAAATGAGGAATGCATATAGAAACTGATGTATTTCCTGAAACAGGATCTTTGGATCCATCTGTAAATATTTTAATTTCCTGACTATAATTTTGATCCATGTATATTTGTGCAATCTCATTCTTGGAAACATAACCCTTGTTGGCAAACCCACTTAAAAGGTGCATTTCCGCCACCTACTGGACTGGAGTGTGGAGCATGACGTATATTGGTGACAACATATCATTTAAAAAATAAATAAAAATAAACCCTTTAGGAAACCTTTTGACCAAAAAATTAGTACACAAGGATACAATTATTTTATATACTTCATTATGTGATCTTCAAATTCTATTTATTAAACCTATTGCTTGCAAATAATTAATAATTGCATTATACACTATACTGTGCTGGAACATACTCTAGTATTGTCTTAATTATTATACTTTCAATATTCAACAAACTTAATTCTTCTATTAATCGCATTCTTTCTCTTTCATATGCTTCACAATGTAATAAGATATGTTCCACGGTCTCTGGTATACCACATTTATTGCAATTACCTGATTCATGTTTACCAATAATAAATAATGATTGATTAAGAGCTGTGTGACCAATACGGAGTCTAGATATTATTGTGTCCTCCTTCCTACTTCCGAAGTTTTTCCTTTCATTTCCAACTTGTTTTTGAATGTTGTATAGATGCCGACCCTTTACCTCCCCATCCCACATCTTTTGCCATTTCCTAATCATAGCCCCTCTGATTATTCCTTTCATTTCTGCTTTACTAAGTGATATGTTTATATCTATATCGGTTTGTTTTAATGCCTTCTTGGCCATTTGATCAGCTTCCTCATTTCCCTCTATCCCAACATGTGCCGGTACCCATAAAAATGAAATACTTAATCATTTCTGATTTACTAAGTGATATTTCTTCTTGGCCATTTGATCAGCTTCCTCATTTCCCTCTATCCCAACATGTGCCGGTACCCATAAAAATGAAATACTTAATCTATATTAGTGAATTTTGAACATGCTTTGTAGGATATCATATAATATGTTTTGTCTAGATGTAGACTTGCCACTTAATAAACTTAATACAGAATAAGAGTCTGAGCAAATAACTGTTCTTAAAGGGTTAGTTCACCCAAAAATGAAAATTAGCCCATAAATTACTCACCCTCAAGTCATCCTAGGTGTATGACTTTATTCTTTCAGACGAATCCAGTAGGAGTTATATTAAAAATTGTCTTTGATCTTTCAAGCTGTTTCATGGCACTCAGCGGGTGTTGCATGCATCAGTCCAAAAGAAGTTAAATAAAATGCACCCATCCATAAAAAAAAAGTGTCTCACACGGCTCCGGGGGGTGAACAAAGGCCTCCTGTAGCGAATCGATGCATTTTAGTAAGAAAACGCATCGATTCAAAATGTAATAATCACTTTAATCTAGCTTGCGCTCACTGTTGTACACGGAAGCAGCTCCGGGAGCATGACGTATGAGTTCAGCGCTGCGCATGCGCCGGTGAGTCTCGTGAAAACCAACGTTTGTTAACAGGATCAAAGGAAGCAAAGTTTCCTTACTTTAGCAAAGGAAGACCAGTCTCCTCTTGGCTTATATCGAAATCCTCCGACATTCTTCTTTACAAATCCTCGTTTTGTACTTCTAATTA